GGGACCATGACACCGACATTCTTCCTGAAATGGTTAGGCACAAGGAATGGGCTGATAATGACTGAAAAATAAAAGTTTAAATCATGAATCATTAGTGAGGTGATGCTGTTCCATTTCTTGACAGCAGCTGTGTTGGTTCAGATTAAGGTTCAGTCTGCTGCGACGACTACAACGGTAATGTTTCTTGTTGCACTCATGGGCTGTAATAATAGTTTGACAACACACGGTCTGATGGGTACAGGTGTGAGGTCGTTTCAGTAGGTTCCCATAATGTTATAAAAATGGTGGTTAATTGAACTCAGGTTGAATAATGAAGTTGAGAAAACACTGACATCACTGTAATATAAATGCACAGGGCCAAAAGCTGCAGTGTTTTCATTGGTTTGCTTTGATTTAACATGCATTAACACACAGCAAGTTTCCATCATGAATATTTGCCTCAAATTACAAAACGGGGGAAGTCTCTGGAGAATTTTCACTTCTAATGTGCGAGTTGCATTTTAAGGAGCTGACTGAACTCTCAAATTAAATGCTGTTTAAGTTTGAAGTTACATAATTATTGAAATTTTACTCCACACTGTTTTACAGATTTGAATTTTAATTGTTTTCATGTGGGAGCAGACTCTTCATTAGCTTGACCTTTGACCTTTTGTGCATGTTTGCCGGCGTGTTGCAGGAATTCAAGAATGTGGACGGGGAGGAGTACCATGCAGACATGTCCACCTTGGCCTCGCCGGCCTCCCAGGGTAGTCCTGACGTCTACATCCTGCCGCTCACTGAGGTGTCCCTGCCGGTCGCCAAGCAACCAGCTCGATCAGGTGAGTTCAGTTCAGTTTAGCAGCCAATCGGCTGGACCAAAATTTCCCTGCAATTCACCTAATGCAAGGGTATCAAACATAAGACCCGGGGGCCAGAATCGGCCTGGCAAAGACTCCATCCGACTGGATGGGATTGGAAAATTGGAAAATATTTCAGTCTGGTTGGTCAAAGTGGGCTGTATATGTCCTAGGATGTAAAAACAGACTGCCATCTTTAAACTACAGCATGTTTAATGCTCGATAACGGAGGTAAATTAAGCTAAATAGTTAAAATAACTTCTCTGGATTCAAAAAAGAACAATTTTTATCTTTATTTTACTTTTAGGAAATCTAGCGTTGATTCCATTTCTGAACGAAATAAAACATGTTAATGTTTGTTTGCATGCTGATTACTCAGCTGTGTTTTTTCATTACAACACACTCGTTTCCAAGCAATAACTCCAACAAACATTAAGAAGCACAGTTCAGAACAGAAACCTCTGTTTGTGCATCAGCAGCTGGCTGTTGTGGTTGAAGGCGACTGCAATCAGGACGCTGCTACAACTAATTTCTCTGCTGCTGCTTACTTCATGCCTCAAATCAAAAGGGTGGATGTGGCGTGTGGTGCCATGGCATTACTAATACAAAGAGGAACTTCTTTTCCTACAAATCCCTCTGTGCAGATCAAAGCTCCAGCAACACTTGCAGTTTAAAGAACAGTTTTGTTACTGGACCTTTTGGATTTTTTACTTTTAAATTTTGTTTCCACGGGATGTAACGAGGACGAAGAGTTTTTAAAGTTAACACTGTATGTTAACTTCCTTTGTTTTCTATGTTTGAATCCAGTTTACAGTTGTCACATTTTATCTGTGGTATGTATTTCAGAGTGAACTACCTCTACAAATAAAGGTTATTTTTTTTAGCAAAATTAAAATTAAGCAGTTTATCGTCACTGTCATGTAATATTTTTTCTTAATATACACTTTTTAAAGTGTATTTTTATTTTTCGCTTATATGTTTACCTTTAAGTGTCCACCATAGTGGATGTTTGAGAAAAAACTTGAAACGTCACCTCAAATTTACAGCGTTCCAGTTTGAGTACCAAACATACAGAGACAGTCACACGCCTTAGATCACATGACCACATGCCCTGTTGGTGCTGCATTAGTGGATAAATATACTAAATGTAGGCGGTTGGGTGATTTAAAAATGCCCATAGAGTTGAGCAGATATGATTTGCTATTTAAAATTGTTCCTATGAAGACTTTATTTTCTACTCACAGGTGTTCTATTTAAAGTGCTGACTGAATCAAAACAAGTTTGATCAGGTAATAAAACCGGTCATTAACCACGCTCTTCTCCCTGCACATTAGAAGTTGTGCTCATTTCTATTCTCAAGCCCCCCTCTCACTTTCAACCCATCTCATCATATTGAATAAAATATATTGAATATTGCTGGGAAAAAAGAATTTGTTTACCTATCAATGTTATATTTTGGGCTCCATATGACCCCATTTATTCTGGGCTCTTCTTTTATACCACCAGCTATAAAAAACAAAAAATATATATATATATATATATAAAAACACAAAAAAGGTCCCAGTGGAGTGGAGTTCTTCAGCTTTTAGAGATGCCTTTCAGTTCTTCCAGTAAACAAACAGTAACGTCATATTTTCCAAGGAAGCACGAGTACTCCAAACACAGACACGGGCAGGAACTTTGAATTAAACTGAAGTGAAGTCAGAGCAGAGGGGCTTTACTCGGACACTCTCTCTAGTGGCCAGTAAGGAGGCAGTTGGAGAATAGGTGTGACTGTGTAGAAGTCAATAAGAAAACAACCCAGCTAAACACCTTCCTGATGAGTTCATGGTTTCAGCTCCACCATTTTAAATCATGGTCCCCATTACTGTCAAAAAGGACAATAAAGCGGGCCATGATTTAGGGCGGGCCTACTATTAGTTCAGTCAGATGCACGATGATGACGGCCAAAAAGGCTTCAAAATGTGAGCCAGCAAACCAGCGAGTGACAGCAGGGAGACAGTCGAACTATCATGTATACTCCCGATGGTTAAAAAACCATACAGGGATCTGTAAAGGTGTAAAAAAAATCCTTTTTCAGGATTTTCTTCACCGGCTCGGCACTGGACAAAAAGGAGGTCAAGAGGGAGGTCAAGAGGGCCATAAAAGCTGCTAAACTGGAGTATAAAAACACACTTGAAAAAGAATTCACCACAGGGGACCTCCACTCAGCCTGGCAGGGCCTCAAAACCTCTGTGAATACTGCGGTCACCACCCCCAGAAACATCCAGGTGGAGGGCAGCAACCCCTCCTCCCTCCCTGACGACCTCAACGCTTTCTACACCAGGTTTGAGACGGACAACATGTCACTCAAACCTGGCAGCTCTGCACTCAGCTTCAGGACTGAGGACGTGGTGAGAGCCCTCAGGAGGACCAGGGAGAGGAGCTCACCCGGCCCTGACAACATCAGCAGTCGAGCTCTGAGGCCCTTTGCAGGGCAACTAGGAAGTGTGTTCGGACTCTATTTCAACACTCAGTCGACAGTCACACCGTCCCCCAGCTGTGGAAACACTCCAGTCATCCTCATCCCCAAAAGAAACAACCCAAAGTCTCTGAATGATCTTCGTCCTGTGGCCCTCACCTCCCTGGTGATGAAGGCCATGGAGAAGATCATAAAACAGCACATTGAGCAACTGACCCCCTGATGGACCTACTCCAGTTTGTTTACCGTGCACGCAGAGGTGTCGATGACGCAAAAATCTTCATCTTGGACTCCATCCACAAACATCTGGAGCTCCCTGACTCCTCCGCCAGACTTCTGTTTGCTG